TTTTTCTTTGCTTAATGTTAAAAATTAATTTCAATTTTAATTTTTGACTTAATTCAATTTTTATTCTCTTCAGAATTTAATTCGATTTGGATTTTATTTATCATTTAACTCAATTCTAATTTTATTTAGAACTTAATTCAAAATTTATTTTAATTTTAATTCAATTTTTATTTAATTCAAAAATTTAATTCAATTTTTATTTAATTCAAAAATTTAATTCAATTTTTATTTTATTCAGAATTTTCTTTGTAAAACGAATCCCATGAAGTATCAAATTAACCTCTCATTTTTTCATTGATCTTCCTTCTGTAACAAATTTCTTTTTATCAAATTAATCTTTACCAGGAAGTCATAAATTTTTCTCCAGTATTAATAAATTATTTACTAAATTAATTAAAAAGCAGAGCATAAAAGAAGAGGAAAATTGTTGTCTCTTTTTTTTCGAAAAAATCTTTTATGCTCGAGAATCAACGATGAGACATTTTCCTAGCGATAAATGGTGCTCTCTTTCGTCAGAGGCAAACGAACGAAAGGAAGGCAAAAAAAGAGTGTGAGAGAGAGAGACAGAAAGAGAGAGAAAAGAAGTTTCGAATGGGTCGTGCTGCATTCTCCTTTCGTGCAAGGTTCTTTGATATCTGAGAAAGGACAAGTAAAGAGAAAAAAAAATAAAAAAAAAAAAATAAAGAAGACTAAAGGAAAATGGCAAAAGGAAAAAATGGAAAACAGACTGGAGAGAGAGAGAGAGAAAGAGGAAAAAAATAGAAAGAAGTCGATCGGTTGATCGGGATAATAAAAATAGACAGGTACTCGTTCTGGCTGCTCGCATTTCTTCTTGGCGTGCTTATCGCGGTCGCGTTTTCCTTGCATTCTTTTCCTGACATGCATCGGATTCCTGTGTCCATTCGATAGGACGCGCAGGTTTTTACTACAAAAGAACAACTCTAGCCTTTGGAACGTTAGTAATTTTTTTTAACATTCTTTTTTTTTTCTTTTACAAGGGGGTTAAAAGACGTGTTTAAGACAATAGGTATTAGCATTGGAAAAACAATTGTGAAAAACAGAGAAGGGTCAGAAAACATTAACATTACGTGCAAACATGTAACAAAAAAAATAGAAAGGTTAATAGAATGTGACACAACTATCGTCAACAAATTGCGATATGACACTATTTCTCCGTAAAATATTCTCAACATTTTATCATTATTTATATATTAATAATATAATATAATTATTAATTAATATTTAATTATATTTCTTATTATTGTTACTCGGAAAAAAATGAATATTAAATTCTGTAACAGTATTTTACAATTTGAGAAAAAAAGACGACAAAGCGAAATTTTGATGTACAAAATTCAAAAGTTTAAAAAAAATTATATGAAATTTAGTAAAATTATATTAAAAATTGATTCATTTTTTTAAAATTTGATAAAATTACTAAATTTCGAAGTTTTTTTTAAAGTTTAGTATTTATTATATAAAAATTTTGCTTTGTCGCATTTTCTGTCCAAATTTGCAAAATATTTTTATAAAATTTAATATTTATATTCTTCCCGGGTCTCGTTATTATTATTATTACTTTTATTTTCATTTTTATATATCATTTTTATATTATTATTATATTATTTTATTATTTTATTATTATTTATAAAATGAAGAAAATGTTGTCTAAAAATAAAATCTCCAAATCTCGTCTACAAGTGAAAAATCCAAGAAATAGTGTCGAAACGGCAATTGTTCCAATCATCGATCGAAATGTCACGTAATTATTAGAAGGAAAGCAATTAACGGACAGGTGAAAAAGAGTGGCTCAGGCATCTTCCGGGAAGGCGACGATTACCAGCGATTAAAATTTCGTGAAAAGAAAAAGACGTTTGAGTTTGCGATAAATCGTCGCGTTTCGGGACGATTCCCTCAAAATCGGAAAGATTATTATCGAGCACAAAGCAAGGAGCTTTTGAGGGTTGTGTTGCATACGTGATAGTGGTCTTGAGGAAAAGTTTTAAGGAGAAGAGACAGAGATAGACAGAAATAGAGAAAGAGAAACAGAGACAGAGAGAGAAAGAGAGAATAGACAGAGATAAAAGGCTTTTTTTTCTTTTTAAAAGAGAGAGAAAGAGAAAATATGGCCATTTCAATTTCTGATCTATCTCAATTCTCTCGGAAGATTCCACGTGATACCGCCAATCTCAAATCTCAATAAAGACCTCTAATTGTAAGAGGCACTTGAAACTTCATCTCGAGTCTGGCTCATTGCTCAAATACGCCACCGACACCAGTTAGTAAGATAAGTGCAAAATTTTATTAAAATCCATTAGACAAATTTATTTGCATTTCTAGTTTGTAAGTTCAAGTGTTTCAAGTGGTTATTAACATTGCTTTATCGTTTTCGATAAAATTCAATTACTTTGACTTTATGTAATTTCGATAATAATTAAATTGAAAAGGGAAAAACAAAATTCTTTTCGGTTTCTTTGTCATTAGAAATAGAGAAGAAATAATAGTTGACTGGTAAAAATAAAAAATTTCTCCATGAGGAAGCGAAAAATAAAAATTCTCTTAGTTTCTTTTATATTGGTAATAAAAAAATAATTTAGTACATACTAGAAATAAAAAATACTTTCTCTACAAGAGAGGAAATGAAAATTCTGTTGAAAAAAATTTGTTTAGTTTCTTTCTCTTTAGTAATAAGAAACTAGAAGAATTTTTATTTATTTCTTTATTTTTAGTATCGAATTGTTATTTTTTATTGCCAATGAGAAAGAATTTTTATTTTTTGCTTCCTACCATAAGAAATATTTTCATTCTTAGTATTGAAGTATTATTCTTTTTATTACTAATGAGAAAGTAACTGAAAGAATTTTTTTTTTTGCTTTAATTTTATTTCTTTTAAGAAGAAAAAAATAAACAATCTTTAAAAAAATTCTTCTAGATTCTTTTTCATTGTTCCTCACTGTTTATTTTTATCATTTTATCGTAGAAAAAAAATTCAAAAAGCAAAAAATAAAAATTCTTTTAGTTTTTTCCTCATTTTTTATAAAAGAGTTTTTACTTTTGTTTCTATTAGCAAGCAAAAAACAAATATTCTATTAAAAAAAAATCTTTTCCTTTTCTTTTTATTGTTTTGCACTGAAAATATTTTGTTGAATACAATTTTTATTTTTTGGGAATTCTTATCAATTTTCTACTACAACTTAAGTAACGAAAAAAAGGAAAGAAAAATTACAAATTTTGAATTAAATAGTAAAACATTACTAAAAATTAGCTAAAATGCTTACTAATCTATTAGAGGACGAGACTATTTAGTAAATCAGAATTAGAGACAAAAAAACTATTTTTTACCTTCTCAAATCTGAACCAGCGAAAATCCCACTGATTTTAGAATTTAAATTTAATAGAATATTTATTTTTCGCTTCCTAAGATTTTTATTTTTCCTAAAATTTTTATTTCTATTGTTTAACTTTTATTTGCTTTATTACTAATGAGAATGAAACTGAAAGAATTTTTTTCAATCAAATTTTCTTTTTGCTTTAATTTGTTTTTTAAGAAAGCAAAAAGAAAAACAATGAGAATGAAACTAGAAAATTTTTTTTTAAATATATTTAAAAAAAAATTTTCTAGTTTCATTCTCATTGTTTTTCACAGAAAATATTTTTTTTAATACAATTTTTTTTAGGCAACAAAAACTATAAATTCTATTAAAAAGAATTCTTTTAGTTTCTCTCGCATTGTTTTTTCACTAAAAGAATTTTCTCTAATAGAATTTTTATTTTTTGTCATTAAGGAAGCAAAAAAAAAATTCTATTTAAAAAAAAGTTCTTTTAGTTTCTTTCTTATTTTTTTTTTTTTTACTGAAAATATTATTTATAATACAATTTTTGGTATTTTGTTTTCTTTTAGGAAGCAGAAACTATAAATTCTATTTTAACAAAATTCTTTTAGTTTCTTTTTCATTGTTTCCCACTGAAAATTATTTTTAACACAATTTTTATTTTTTTGCTTTAATTTATTTTTCTTTTAGGAAGCAAAAAATCAAAATTTTATTAAAAAACACTTTTAGTTTCTTTCTCTTTTTTTTCCAAAAAGAATTTTTTCTAATTATTTTTTTCTGTTAGAAAGCAAAAAATAAATATTCTATTTAACAAAACTTCTGTTAGTGTTTTTCTTCTTAGAAAATAATTCGATACTAAAAGAAAACGAATTAAAAACTAATTAAAAATTCTTTTAATTTCTTATCTTAGTATTAAAAAAATAATTCATGCTAAAAAATAAAAATTCTATTTAAGTTTCCAAGAATATAAAACTAATTGCTTGTCTAAGTAATTAAAAACTATTGGTATTAATTAAAATCTATTTAATTAATATTAAAAATCTATTATTACTGATGGTTGAGATGAGAGAGTAAAATTGATTAATTACGACTAAAATTCCAAACTGCGACTATACAGTTACAAAGAGAGAAAAATAATTTCGCCAAAAAGCAAACGTTCGGCAAAGCAAATAAATAAAAACAGAGATTGACAAGTGTCACGTGGATCGTAAAAGAAATAAAAAAAAGAAAGAAAGAGAGAGAGAGAGAGAAAAAGAGGATTTACAATATTGGACACGGTGCTCACGTGTTTGCATTGGACAAATGTGTTTCTGATAAGTGATATTTAGGGGTGGGTGGGGGGGTTTGTTGGTTCAATGGGACTTGGGGGTGGATCACGAAAAACAAAAGACTTACGGCGTCTGCCACGAGGTGTGCGGGCGGGAGGGCTGCCTGCAAGTGTCCACTCTTCAGCAGGGGGTCGGCGAGGCCTGCCACGCTGGCGTGTAAGGGTTGAAGGGGATGATGGGGATTGAGATGGGCCGGGAGGAGAGGATGCCCGTGAGAAGCAGCGAAGGGCGAGGAGGGGTGAGCCGCGAAGGGCGAAACTGTCAAATTATGGCTGTTCAGCGAGGGTGGGGGAGCGTGCCCGATAGCGGGGGCAACGGGCATTTGCATTACTGTACTTACGTCCGAGTGGGCGGGCACCGCGTAATTACCCTGGATGGTGAATGCTTGCCCACCAGCCAGGATCACTGGCCCACCAACTTGGGGTTTAGGGCGATAAGGGATCGTGGCACCTTTGGGAGGGGACTGAAACAAAAAATCAAAAATTAGCCATTAGACAATTGTCATCAATCACATTTCATGCAAAATATATTTTACAATAATAATAGTCATATTTATTTATCTGTTATTTTGATGAAAAAAATTTTTGATATCTGTACAATTATTGTTTACACAAAAGAAAATAGTGGCAAATAATTGAATTAATTAATCAATGTCAAGAATATTGTATTCCGGATTTTGTTTCATTCTTCTATTCAATTTTTGAAGAAATTCTTGAAAATAATTTTATTTTTATAAAAAACAATATCAAAATTTTCGAAAATAACTGAAAGTCTTTTTAAAAATTTTAATTAAGTATAAGAAAAAATTGAATTCTTCCGAAAATTTTCATTCAAATTGTATTGAAAATAATTAAATTCCTGCGAGGAATTTTATTATTTAAAAAAATTATAAATTAATTCAAAAATTCAATTATTTCAATAAATAATAATATTCTTCGCAGGAACTCAATTATTTTCAATACAATTTTAATAAAACTGACCAAAAAAATTAAATTATTTTCAATACAATTTAATAAAATTTTTGGAAAGAAATCAATTCTTTCATAAATTTTAATAAAATTCTTTACAGGAATTCAATTACCTTCAATACAATTTCATTACAATTTCTCGAAAGAATTTTTTTTAAAGAAAATTCTACGAAAGAATTCAATTATTTTAACAAAACAACAATAATTGAATTCATTGAAGACATTTAATTCAAAAATTGTATTAAAAATAATAAAATGCCTACAAGAAAATTTAATTATTTATTGAAATAATTGAATTCTTTCAAAGAATTTTATTACAGTTTAAAAATTTAATTGAATTCTATCAAGATATTTATTAAAATCATTAAAAAATATTTGAATTCCTACAAAATATGTCATTCGTTTGGAAAATTTGATTCAAATTGCACAGAAAATAATTGAATTTCTGTGAAGAATTTTATTATTTTACGAGAATAATTGAATTTTTGCGAAGAATTTTATTTCCATTAATTGTAACATTCTTTCCAAAAATTCAATTATTTTGATAAATAAAAAAATCTTTGGAGGCATTCAATTACTTTTAAAACAATTGTTAAAGAAAAATTTTCAAATGAATTCAATTATTTTAATTTTATGAAAAATTTAAATAATTTTTAATTTTAAAAATAATTTCATTCTTTTAGAAAATATTATTAAAATTGCATTGAAAATAATTGAATTACTTTGAATTCTTTCGAGAAATTTTATTAAAATTGTATTGAAAATATGTGAATTCCTGCAAACAATATTATCTTTAAAAATAATTGAATTCTCACAAGAAATTTTATAATTTTTAAAAATAATTGAAATCCTCAATTAATTATATTACGTCTTATGAATATAATTGAATTATTTTGAGAAATTTGATTAAAATTTTTAAAAATAATTAAATGCTTTTGCGACATTTAATTCAAATTGTATTAAAAATAATTAAATTTGTATAAAAAACAATATTCAACATTTTTGAAAATATTTAAAAGCATTTTATAGAATTAAAAATAATTCCATTTTTTCGAGAAATTCCTGCAAAGAATTTTATTATTTATAAAAATAATTCAATTTTCAATTATATTCAGAAATTTTATTAAAATTGTAATTAAAAATAATTGAATTACTGCAAAGAATTTTTTTAAAATTTATGAAAATATTTGTATTCTAGAAATAAATTTAAATAAAACTGAAAATAATAAATAATAATAATAATTACTTAATATAATTGAATCTTTAAAATTTTTGAATAATTTCAGTTTCAAAAAAATTACAAATATCCTTATTTTATCATCTAAACAACAGATTAGGACTAGATTTTGTATCGGAGAATTTCTTCAATCAAATTTTTTTTCCAAATCTAATAATATTGTTAAACTTTGAAAATTCGATAATAATAAATAATAATTTGCTAATTTTCAATTTTCATAACTTTCGAAATTTTCGATTTCGATTCAATTTAATTGTAAGTCGACTAATTATTCCCGTTTTTATTATTAATATCATTAAACTAGAATAAACATTAGAAGAAATTCTCAGAGAAATAAATAAATTTAATTATGTAAATTAGAGGGAAAAATCTAAGATTTGAATAATTTTTCTTTCAAGTTTTTTTTGTGGAAATATGTATGTGTGTGTAATGCATTGAGTTTGAAAAAAATGTTCAATGATTCATGCAAATTGACAAGAATCTTGCACCGATTATTTTTTTCACTTTATTGATCAAAAGGTTTGTTCACTTTGAATCTTGCTTTTGTTTTCATTTGAAACTATATATCAGTGCAAGATCTGTGTAACTTCGAAAACAACCTATCAGCGTCTTTGAGATAATAGATTGAAGCAGCAAGTTTTAAGGTAAACAAGAGAGCGTTGTGAATATTAATAAGCGATTTGCTATAGAAATTGATTCTAAATTTGTTTTTCCAAGAGATTCATCAAAGATTTTCTAAATGAAATGTTAAAATTCTAATATTTTAAGTTTTAACAGTAATGAGTATACATTTATTTTTAATACTTATTAATTAGTCTGTACTTTGGAATTTATTATTATTTTAATTAATTTATAATAATAATAATATTACTATTATCATCGTTATTAAAACTAATTAATAAAGTTTAAGACGCTAATGGTGTTTCAACTTAACGTAAGAAAGTATTGTCTAAAATTATGTAAGGTAATATTACAATCAAACACTGCTCTATAGTTCTGTTAATCATTTCGAGTCTTTTACGTTTTAATATAATTCTTTTCTTCAATATAATTCTTTCTAAAATTTTTTTTATAATTATTTTTATAATTTTTTTCTCTAATTCTTTCTATTTTAATAAAAAATAATTACAATTTTGATTGTAATAAAATACTACATAATTTTAGAGAGAAATTGTTTTGTAAAAGTGAGGTTGGTAGTAAAATGCAGTGACAATATTATTTTCTATAAAACTATAGAAAATAATAAAATTAAGTTTTTGATCTCGCAATTAATGCGACGCAACGAGCGTGATTGGCTGCTAGACTCTACACAATTCTGTTACCATCTCTGCAGAATATTAATGAACCAATAATCAATTTTCTCTTAAATTCTTTTCCTCTTAAAACTTTGTTTTTTATGATAAAAAATATTTTGTTCACCTAGATACTATTTGCGCTATAAAAAATATTTTTTTTTCTCTTTTAAAATAATATTTTAAGTTTTTTTCCTACTATTAAAAATTTAATCCCCTTTTAAATATTTTTCTGTATATAAAAGAAGTTATAAATCTTATAAAGACTTTTTTTAAAAAAATATGAAACCCTCGTAAACAAAAATTTACTCTCACAAACATAATTTATTTTTATAAAAATAATTTTTTAGAGAAAATTTTTTCACTAAATTTTATTTTTTTTTTTGTGAAAGTGATTATTAATTTAAAAGAAAAATTCTTCTTTCCAAATACACATGTAAATTTAACAATGAAATGGTGAAGAAAAAACAATTCATTCGAAAATTATTCCTCGGAGGAAGATTAAAAGATCTCAGTGGATGATGTACCTTCTTAAAACTTTTAGAATTCTCTGCAAGAGGTTCATGTGTAGAGTCGAGCTTCACGCTTGTAAGGATAAAGGGTTTTGCAAGGCTGCAGTAATGGTTGTACGAGGGATATAAAGCCGTTCTGTTCTCTACCGAGTCATTCAAAGGGGGACTTTGGATGTTAAATAAAGACAAAATGAGAAAAAGAAAAAAAATTGTATAGGCAACACACGGTTTACAAAGGAGAACAAGTTCGTTCAAGCGTCTGTTCTAAGACTACGGGGGATCACTCCAGTGTTTTTCGTTTCTTTTTCTTTTTTCCTGTTTTTTTGTTTTGTTTTTGTTTTTACTCAAAAAAAAAAAAAAAAAAAACAGTGTTTCGTAAAATGTTGAATAATCAAAATTTCCCCGCAGGTCTTGTTTGTAAACTTTCATAATTATTGTAATTAATATTTCCATTGTTTAATTATAATTACTTTCATTATTTCACTGCAATTATTATTTTCATTAATTAAATTGTAATTCATGTAATGATTCTTCAATGATGGATTTTTAAATAAAAAATTAAATAATTTGAAAAATTTTTCAATGAATTTTAAAACAGGAAAAAAGTGATATTATTTAATCAGGGTTGCCAACAATTTAATTCTCTTCAAAACAATTTAATAAAATTTTTCGATAGAAGTCAATTTTTGCCATAAAATTTAAAAAAATACTTTGCATGGATTCAATTATTTTTACTCCAATTTTATTAAAATTTTTCAAAAAAAAATTCAATTATTTTTAAACTGTAATAAAATTCTTCGTAAGAATTTCAATTATTTTCAAACCAATTTTATTTTTTAATAAGTATTTACTTATGATAATTACAATTTAAAATTAATACCTCGAAAGAATTCAATTATTTTCAATAATTTTAATAAAATTCTTCGACAGAATTAAATTATTTTCATCGCAGGAATTCGATTATTTTCAATACAAATTTAATAAAATTTCTCCAAAAGAATGAAATTTTATAAATAATAGAATTTTCGAAGGAATTCAATTATTTTAATAGAAATAAAATAATTGAATTCATACGAGAAATTTTATTCAATAATTGTATTAGAAATAATAGAATGCCTGCAAGAAATTTTATTATTTCTTGAAATAATTGAATTCTTAGGAAAAATTTTATATTTCATGGAAATAATTGATTTTTTGAGAGAAACTTTATTAAAAATTTGAAAATAAATAAATTCTTACCAGGTATTTAATGAAAGTTGTATTAAAAATAATTGAATTCTTTTAAAGAATTTTGTTAGTTTTAAAAAAATTTGAATTTTTTACAGATAAAATTATTAAAATTAATTAAAAAGATTTGAATTCCTACCAAAAATTTTATTATATTTGAATAATTGAATTCCTGCGGAGAATTTTATTATTTACGAGATTAATTGAATTCTTACGAAGAATTTTATTGAAATTTTTTCAAATAATTCAATTCATTTGAGGTTTTAATTAAAAATTTGTTTACATAATAAAATTTTTTGCAGGAATTAAATTTTTTTCATAAATAATAAAATTTCTTGTAGGAATTTAATTATTTTTAATACAATTTTAATAAAATTTCTGGAATGAATTCAATTATTTTCAAAAATTCTTATAAAATTTTTTATTATAAGAATATTGAATTCTTATAATATTAAATATTTTGTATTATTTTTTTTTAGGAAATTTCAATTATTTGAAGAATTTGTAATTATCATTGGAAAAAAAGAAAGGAAATATTTTCATAAATTTATAACTCGAACGTCACTTAATTATTTTCAAAAATTCCAATAAAAACCTTTTAAAAATTCGAGTTTTTAAAATAAAAGTTTAACAAATTTTAATTAATACAAAATATTTCAATTACTTGTTAATAAAAATTTAATTATCTTTTAAAAAATAGAACTGAAATATTTAAAAAAAACATAATTTTTCCTAATTTTTGAATAAAGTTTATCGAAATTCAAATTTTTAAGTTTTGAATCAATTAATTAACTTGGACACTTCAGTTCTGCTTTTCACGCAATTATTTCTGAAAATTCAAATTAGTTTTAACTAAAATCTTTTCCAAGTTAATTATTATAACCTAGATAAATTTTTTCCGGAATTTAATTATTTAAAACTAATTTAATTTGCAGAAAGAAGAAAAATGAAGGTATTGTTTATAAAATCATTGATTTTTTTCAAGGTTTTTCAGTTGAAAAAAATCAAAGTATTCTTGGCTTTTGAATATTTCAAAAATGTTTCTAAACACCAAATACCAGAATTTTGTTATTAATTCTAGAAATGTGTCATTTTTCCAGTAATTTCCATATAAAATTCACTAACAATTTCCCTGATTTTTCCCTGACTTGTGGCAACCCTGTTAATTTAAAGATGAAATTTTAAATGGGAAAAAAAGTTAATTTCTACTTTTCAACTTAAAGAAAAATTTCTTAATTTCAACTTAATGATAAATCTATAAATCAAAGGAAATTGCTCGAAAGTTTAGTTTATTTTGATTATTCGACTTCAATCAAAAATGTAAAATTAATTATTCAACACTTTTTTTTTAAAGAAACACTGTAAATATTAGGCTTGTCTTTAAATTTCAGAATTTTCATTTATAATTTAGTAGCTATTTTAAAATTTTTTCGAATTTTGACTATTAAAAATATAAATTAATAAATAATCTCATAAATAATAAATATGTAATTAGATGAATTTTTTGTGGTTTTTTAATATATTAATTTAAAATAAACGAAATTTTTGAGAAATGGAAATAATAGTAAATAAAATGTATAAACTGTCAACTGCAACAAATTAAAAATGTAAATTAACCCTTATTTACCAAAACTTGACAATTTTATAAAAAAATTCATAATTTTTTTACTTTTTGTTATTAAGGTTTGAAATTTTAACTGAGTCTTCTATTGATGAATTAATATAAGAAAAATTTCATTAATTAATTTTTAGAAATATATTCTAAAATACAATCCTTCCTTAATGAGGAAGCAAAAAGAAAAAATATTCCCGAGTGGTAAGCAAAGGGTTAAAAAATTATCAATAATTTCCCGAAATAGAAAAAATGAAACAACATTCTGAAATTTTCAGACGATCGGAATATTAGTAGGTTTAATATTCAGTCCATCACTGAAGATTCCTTCTTTCAGTTTCAAAAGAAAATGAATCTTCAATGTTGGGGGGGAGATCGATATTGTGGCAATGAAACAAGAAAAAAAAATTCTTTTGTATTTCTACGGGGTCGAGAACAATCGTTGTTACGGACTCGTACGTAGAATTCGTCGTTAAACGGATCACCATTACTGTGCCGTCCTGGGCTTCGATGCGTCTGTTGATTCGCGTCGCAACGTTACGACGTACCTCTAGCATGACGCAGCATATGTGATATATGCACTGCGTGATCGCCTCGCTGGTGCCAGATATGGTGACAGCGCGTTCCGTCGAATTGGGCAGCATCTCCGATGCAACTTGAATTGACGCACCGGTCACTTCCCGGATTTCCTTTATTTTTGAACCGCCCTTTCCAATGAGCGAGCCGCATTGTGAAGCGGGCACGATAAGTCTCAGGGTGATCGGTGGTCTCGGTACACCGCCACCGCCACCGGCTCCTCCGCCTTGCATATCGTGAAATTGCGAGCACCATTCCTCAAACTTCTTGCATATCAATGTGAACGCCTTGAAAATTGAGTTTGTGGGCCCCGTTACCGTCACTATTCGCTCGGGACACGTACCATCCGAGATCAGAATCTTTGCACCAGACTGAAAAAAATCAAAATCACATTAGTGTCAAAAATTTTTTTAAGTTCATTCCACGTGACTGTTTATGAAGAGCAAACATCATCATTTTTTTTATTACAAAAAAATTGACTCCAAAAACTTTTTTTATTTAAAAAAAAAATTGAAGTATCATTCTCTCAAATCTCACAGTTTTTTTTTCAAAAATAAGATTAATTTCAATTACTTAAAGTTCTGTATGTACTTTTTTACTACTTTTTTGAAATTAATTTTCGAGTGCGAAGTCTTTATGACTTCGCACTTTTTCCTAATTTTCATCAATTATTTCCTTTTCTCTTAAATTGATAATAACTTCAGTTCTAAATTTTTGCAAACTTCAATCATTTTCTAAATTTTAATTTTAAATTCTTAAAAAATACGATTATAATAAAATATAATTTTTCAAAAGTAAAAAATAAAATTCTTTAAAATATAAAATTGATTTCAATTAAATTTGACAAAATTTCCAAATAATTGGAAAATTTAATTTAATCTTTCTAAAATATTTACGGAAATTGAACTATCTTCAAAAAAATTTTGATTACAATTTTTTAAAACACTAATTTTTTCGTAATTTCTAAATTAAATTACATTCAAAACATGAATAGTTCTTGTTACAAAAATATATTTAAATAATTACAATATTTGATATAATTTCAATGGCAAATTTTGAAATTTAACAATTACAACTGAAATTCTTTCAAAATTAAATCCCTTTTTGTTGAAATTTTTAAATGAGATTATTCCAAACTTTAAATAATTTTTAATGAAAATAATAAAATAGTCATTTTTCAAAATAAAAATTAAAATATTATTTCAGTTTTACAAGAATAAAATTTTTTAAAGATTTCAATTTAAAACATTGAAATTGAACTATTTTTAAAAATAAAAACCGAGAATTCAATTTAAAATCTTAAAATTGAACTATTTTTAAAAATAAAAAAAACGAGAATTAAATTATTTAAGTACAAAAATAAATTATTTATTGAAGAATTTAATATTTCTAAAAATTGAATTTTTGGAACAAGTTTTAACAACATTTTTTGAAAATAATTAAATTTATGAGAAGAATTTTAATATTCATATAAATAATTGATTTTTTGCAAAGCATCTTACTATTTAAGAAAAAATTAAAATTTTGAAAAGAATTTCAGTAAAAATTTTAATAAATAATTAAATTCCCGTAAAGAATTTAATTATTTTTTAAATAAAAATCGGGAATTCAATTAATTTAATACAAAAATAAATAATTTATTGAATTATTGAATATTTCCAAAAATTTAATTCCTTTTAAGAACTTTATGAAATTTTTTGAAAATAATTGATTTCTTTATAACAATTTTAATAACATTTTTAAGAATAATTGAATTTTTCGAGGACTTCAATTAAGATTGCATTTAAAAACAATTAAAATCCTGCGATGATTTTTATTATTTATAAAAGTAATTGACTTCTTGCTACAAATTTTATTAAAATTTTATAAAAATAATTGATTTCCTGAGAAGAATTTCATTATTTATAAAAATAATTGAATTCTTACAAAAAATTTTACTATTTAAAAAAAATTTTTATTTTGAGAAGAATTTTAGTAAAAATTTTGTTAAATAATTAAATTCTTGTTAAAAATTGTAATATTTTTAAAAAATAATTAAATTCTTGAAGAGAATTTTATAAAAAATGTTTTAAATAATTGAATTCCTATAAAAATTGTATTATTTATGAAAATAATTGAATGTTTTAATGAATTTTATTAAATTTTTTTTAAATAAAATTGAATTCTTCTGAGAAATGTTATTAAAATTTCTTTTAAATAATTGAATTCTTCTGAGAAATGTTATTAAAATTTTTTTTATATAATTGAATTCTTCTGAAAAACTTTATTAAAATAGTAGATATTGAAAATAATTGAATTTTGGAAAATTTTTGAAAATAATTTAATCGTTTCAAAGAAATTTATTAAAATTTTTTGAATTGTTAAATTTTCTCATATTGAGGGCAAAATTTTTAAAAATTTGAATTTTAATATTTTTGTGAGCAAAAACTGGGAAATAGTGGTTTTTGAAAGAATGACCCTTAAATAATTCAAAATTTCTTTTAAATCAAAAACAATTTCAGACAGTTTATCAAAAAAAAAAAAAAAAAAAAATCAAAAATGTCTGTCAAATTTTAGTCTTTATGAGAATTTAGTCTGTCTGGAATTTTTAATTTGCATCCAAATACAAGCTTGACAAAATTGTCTATAATTTACACTAATTGTGATGGTGCTGCTTATCTTAAACATGGCCTTAAATTAACATTAAAATTAGCCTTTCAATTAAAATTACACTACCATCGCAGTAGAAGTAATTATCACGGTAAAATTATCTCCAAAATGATGCACAAGTTTTAAACAATCAGATGATCAAAATATTCATTACAAATATTTTCTAAAAAAATATTTTTTATTACAAATATTTTCTTGAAAAAAATTTTTTATTACAAATATTTAGAAGTAATTATCACGATACAATCATCTTCAAAATGATCCACAAGTTTTGAACGTTCAAATAGGGTAAGTGCGGGTATAGTCGGACAGTACTAGTAGTCGGACACTTTCATGTTTTTTGGCAAATAAATAATAATGCATTGTGATATTTACTTAAAAAAATATACTGGACGAATGTGTAAAGTTTATATTTTATGAAATTAGTGTTATTTTACAAAATAATTAAACAATAAATATTTTATTTAATATTTTAAAAATCGTGGTGTCCGACTATAGATACAACCATTTTCGAGTAGCGCGATGAGTGGCACAAAGTTTTGTTGATAATTAATCATAAATATTAAAACGTATAGGGTCTAAATATTATATTAATAACTTCTAATATGCTTTAATTCCATTTTCCAGCAGATAGCAATTAAAAAATTATCTTTTTCACTTTATAAATTCAACATATCTAAAAGATGTCCGACTATAGAAACAAGGGGAAAAAGTGTCCGACTACTAAAGCATTTGTAATTTTTCATTAAAATGTTTATATTTTATTAAATACTCAAGTATTTGTAACAAATTTATATGATTTTTAATCCTAAAGAACTCCTTTAATTGATAATGTGCTTATAAACACAGTAGATATTTGTTATTTCAAGAAAAAAAGCATAATATAAGATCGTATCCTTAAGTGTCCGACTACTAGTGCATTTACCCTATAGAAAAAATTTTTATTACAAATTTTTTTTTGATACGTGACAAAATTTAATTTAAAGAATAAACTTCGTTCATTTGAAAATTCAGAACTTCGGCAAAATTCTCTAAAATAATATTCCCGATAAAAAATTTCGATTTAAGATTTAAATAATTCGATTTTTACTCTTTTATTTATTTTTATTTTGAATTCTAAACTATTACCAAAAAAACAAAAAAAGCCAAAAGATAAAAAAAAATTCCAAAAACAAATTTTAATTACAATTACAAATAAATTAAAATTTCTCCAAATAATTTAATCAATTCGAATAAATTTAATAATGACAAACTTTTGCAAAAAAAAAATTTCTAAATAACGGATTAACGAGTTTGCCGTCTGAAGAATAACTTCTTTCGTTTACATTATTTAAATGAAGTATAGAAGAAAAATAAGAAGTTACAGAAAATAAAGTTAAAAAGTTTCTCTACAATACCCAAGTCTAATGAAAATCCTGATCATTAAGATGTGTATAAGACCATTATTCGAGCCTTGAGAAAATAATCAACTGTATTCAATTCAGAAAGAGTAAACTCCTTCTTTGCAATTAAGTTTTTTTTTTTTTTAAAAAAAGAAGAAGAAAAAATGGAGGAGAAAAAAAGGAAGAAAAATGGACCTATCTATGTACTACAGAATGAAAGAAGATAATTACCTCTTCGCGGAACCTCTTGACAATTTCTCCCTTTTTACCAATGATACTTCCGACTTCCTGAAACAAAGAATATTCTATTTAATAATAAAGCCTTCGTTAATAATAAATAAAAAAAGAAGAAGAAGCAACAGAAAGAAACTATAAAGTATTTCAACAAATGAAATATTGATAAGAATAAAAGTTCCAAGTCTCGTGAGTTAATTAATATCATTGTAGATATTTTTTTCTACTTGGAGAATCGCAATTTTTTTTTGCTGTTTTACACAATTTTTCGCAATTTTTTACTTTTTTGCAAGTTTTTACTTTTTTTGCAATTTTTTACTTTTTTCCATTTTTTTACTGTCTTACAATTTTGTTGTGGGACTAGCAACAAAGTATTCAATTTAACTCTTTGTAGACTAATTTTTTTAGATTAGCAACAAAATTTTTTAATTTAATCCTTTGCAGATTTACTTTTTAACTTAAATACAAATTTTTTTTGCGACTAGAAACATTTTCTTTTGAATCCTCTGCAGACAAATTGAGTACAAAAATTTTTGAGACTATAGACAAAATTTTCTTTTTAACCTTGTGCAGAATAATTTTTTAACTTGAATAAAAATTTTTTTTTTTTAGACAAGAAACAAAATTGTCCCTTAGAATCTTTGCAGACTAATTTTTTAAATTGAAATACAAATTTTTTTTAAACTAGAAACATTTCCTTTTTAACACTTTGCAGACAAATTGAATACAAAAATTTTTCTTTGAGATTAGAAAAAAAAATTTATTTTTTAAATCTTTGCAGTATAAGTATTAAATTTTTCACTAGAATTTAATTATTTAAAAAAATTTAAATAAAATTCTCAGTTATTCAATTATTTTCTCATATAGTAAACTTCTGCGCAAGAATTAAATTATTTTTAAAAATGATATAATTCTTCTTAGAAATTCAATTATTTTTGAAAAAATATAAAAATTTTTAACCAGAATTTAATTATTTAAAAAATTTTTAATAAAAATCTTCTCAAAATTTTAATTATTTTCTTAAATAGTAAAATTCTTAGTAAGAATTCAATTATTTTTATAAATAATAAAATTGTTCTTAGGAATTCAATTTTTTTTTATAAAATTTTAATAAAGAATTCAATTACTTTCAAAGATTGTTGTAAAATTCTTTATAAGAATCGAATTATTCAATTAATTAATAAATAATTAATTTTTGTATTAAAATAATTGAAATTCACTGGAATTTAATAATATAAAAAATTTAAATAAAATTCTGAATAATTGAATTATTTTCTCAAATAGAAATTATTTTCTCAAATTCGCAGGAATTCAATTATTTTTAAAAATAAAATTCTTCTCAGGAATTCAATTATTTAAAAAAAAATCTATTAAAATTTTCTCCAAGAATTTAATTGTTATCATAAATAATAAAACTCATCTTTCCAATCCTTTGCAGACAAATTGAATACAAAATTTTTTTTGGTGATAAGAAACATTTTCTCTTTAACCCTTTGCAAGATGAAAAAATCAGTTTGAAAAAATGTTTATAATATTCTTTGCAATTTATTCAATTATTTAATAAAATTCTTTGCAGGAATTAAATTATTTTTATGAATAATAAAATTCTTCTAAGAAGAGTAATTTTTTTTACTTTTAAAAATTATTTTGAAATACAATCATATTTTTGAAGAAATTTAAATTAAAAATTAGAAAATAATGGAATTTTTAAAAAAATTTAGAACCGAATATAAATTTAGTAAACAAATTCAGTAAATAAATTCTATAAATTTTTAATAGGATAAGAAAAAAAAGTAAATATTTTTTTTATAAAAATTAAGAAAAAAGTCGGAGAAATTAAAAGAGAAATTTATATTTTTAAATAAAAAAAATTACTTTTTATATTGAAAGAGAAATAAATATTTTTTATAAAAATTAAGAAAATAGTCGGAGAAATCAAAAGAGAAATTTTTTTTTCAAATTCTAGAATTAGATTATTTTTTGAATGAAACCCTACGTTTTGGAAAAAGAAAGAAAGAAAAGTGTAAAGAATAAGATCAATTGAGAACAAAAGGAAAAAAAAGAATTTCGTTAAATAGGGAAAAAAAGGGGAAGAAATAGTCTACACGATCAAATATCCGAGGTGCCATTTCGATTTGACCAGAATGTGAACACAATCTATGTTTAGAAGTTGCGCATACCTAATGCACCACTGAGTTTGCAACTCTGACATTATCGGGAGGTCAGACCGTGTCAGAGAAAAGACTCTCGAGAGACCTGGCTCTCTGGACAAAAGTGACTAGATAGAGAAAAAGAGAGGGACCTAATTATAGTTTTACGTGTTGCGATCTATCAGCATTTCTCTCATCTCTCTCCGATGCAATCTTAAACATTCTCATATGCACTTCATTCAAACTCTGAAAATTGCCAATTTTTTTAATTACTTTTTTTTTGACTCTTTACAAATTTGCAAACCGATTTTTTAATATACTGGTGAAAAAAGTTTATATTTAATTTAAAAATTAGACAAAAAAAAAAAAGAAAAAAATTTGTCTGCAAAGGGTTAAAAAAGAAACTGTCGATAGTCTCAAAAAAAATTTGTTTTCGAGTTGAAAATTGGTCTGCTTTTTGTCCCATTTTGCTTTCAGTCCCAAAAAATATTTTATTCAATTTGCAAAGGGTTTGGAATTCCTGAGAAGAATTATATTATTTATGCTAATAATTGAATTCTTTCAAAGAATTTTATTAAAATTGTATTAAAAATAATTGAATTCCTCAGAAGAATTTTATTATTTATGAAAAACATTGAATTATTGCGAAGAATAATAGAAAATTTTTCAAAAATTATTTTTTTTTTTTTTAATTAATAAAAAAATAATTACATAATTAATGTTAATAATTATTAATAACAAATTTCGTCCCTTTGGAGTTGAAAACAGAACGAGGAAGGAAGAAAAAATTTCTTTTTTTTATTCAGCAAAAAATGAATGAAAGAAAAATATTTCCTTTTTAGAGCAAAATTTTTTTCAATTTGACCTTTAAAAAAACAACCGCGAGAATCTAATTAAAATTATCCAATCGATATCGAAATAATTTAAAAGATGAATCAGAGAAGACATGACATATACATATATATAAAATTTAAAGAGTGACGAATGTTCTGCAACAATATTAATTCAAAAGCTCAGTTGAATTGGAGGTCTCGTGAGAATCTAGTTGCCAAATAAAAAGCTTAATTTGATTCCGAGAGTATTTTGCGATTTGAAACCCGCGCAAGGGACAAAGATAGATTTGAATGAGGTCAAAGTGGGGTTTACGTTGTTTGCTATTAGATTTACATTTTTCCAAACTACAAATCTCTTATAGATATTGTACCCCTAAATATCGATTGTCGCAAAAATTTTATCATTTTTCGCAGAAATTTTTTTTTTTAAAAAAGGTGGAAAAAAATCAAATTTATCTTGCTTTATATAATATATTTGAATAGAGGAAAACAAAATTTCGAATGAAATGAAGATTTATTAAAAGTATTTGCGATGAGGAAACTCAATGAAATTTCCAGACAGTTTCGGTGCAAAATGTATATAGTGAGATGTTATATTTTTAGTTACTAAGTTTTCGCAGAATTTCTGGAGACACCAACTTCCAGTTTATATACACAAATTTAACAGAAATGCCACTCGTAAATGAACGTTTTCCAAATAGAAAATCTATTGCTGGATTGAAATTGAAAAAATAAAGAAAAAAAGAGATGCACGGAAAGAAAAACTTACGTGTGACAATCGTGTATACATGGCTTTTAATGAATACGAGATTTTCCTAACGTGACAATTTTTTTTACAAATTTCAGGGATTAGTGATTTTTTCATGTAATAGGTGGAAAAAGGGGATTTTATTTTTCAAAAAAAGGGGATTCAGTATAAAAAAGAAGAAATTTCGAATTAAGTAAAAATTATTGTATAGTAGCGCATAAAATTTATTTTAAAGATTTTTTTACTTTTTCTCTTAACTACAGCTTTTTTAAATCAAATTATTTTTTTTCTTAAACTCTTTCTGGTAATTATTGATATCTTTTTTTATATTTTTCCGTAGTTTGCAACTTTCTTTAAATTTTTAATCAAAATTTTTATTCCAACGCTACTTTTGTTTCAAATTCCATGAATTTTATAATATACGAAGTAAATTTCAGAAAAAATTAGTAAAATTAACTTGGGACTTGAAAAAAATTTCCTTCAAAAATAGTAAAATTTAATATAAAAATTATAACCAAAATAACTTTTACTATTTTCAAAAACAATTTTTTTTATCTAAAAATTAGAAAAATTTACTGCAAAATAGTGAAATTTACTTTAAAAGTAAGAATTTTGAAAAGCGAATTGAAATGTTCGGAAAAAATTTAAATAAATATTATTAAAAATTCAACATTGAAAATCGTAAATTTTGCAATTAAAAATCATTATTTCCAGAGAAAAATTTTACAATATCTGTAGGAAATTAAATTAATTCAATTAATTAATTAACTAATTAAATTAATAAAATATACTTTGAATTTAGTAAAATTTATTCCGCAAATAATACAATTTGTCAAAAATTCCAAACAATTTCAATTTTTCTCAGATGGAAAAGTTATTTTATATTTGTTACTTTTTATGGAAAAATTTCCAAGTGAAAAGACACTGAGAAACAATATTAAAAATTTCTAAGTTTCAAAATCATGAATTTTTCCCAAATTTGCGATAAGTAAAAATTTTTTTCTTCAAGATTAATTAGAAATTTTTCTAACTTAAAAAAAATTATAATTTTTATAAGTTTTTCTTGAAATTAAGGGAAAAAGGGAGAAAATTTATTATTTTAATTGTTTAAGGGGATTTTGCTAATTTAAAGGGATAAAAAAAAGGGAAAAGGGGAAGAACTGTGATCCCTGAAATTTTATTTGAAAATTATTGAACAAAAAAATTGTTTTAACAGAAAAATTTGTTGATAAAATTCTTCATAGGAATACAATTATTTTTAAAAACATTAATAAAATTCTTCTTTGAAATTTAATTATTTTTAAACAATTTCAAATAAATTCC